ATAGTGACAAGTGGCGCGCTTACTACTCACGCGGTCCTTTGTTCACATCCTGAGTCGACTCCCGGTCAAGACAACCACGCCTTATTTCTCCCCGAGGGGAGGGGGGGAGGGATAAATGGTACCAGACTCGTCTGGGAGGATAAGAACACTGACTTGTACATCGGCTGGCCCCGCAAGTCATTGTATAGGCCACATCGCATTCAATAAGCCACTACGATTCTGAATGGAAGTAGAATGCGTGCCGCATCCCACAAAGGGATTGATCAACGGCGAAGACTTTATCTTTATCCCTATGACCTTATTCTATGGTCCGGTGTATTAGACTAGCGCCTATGCCTTTAATATTGAAATCGGAATAAGATTGGAAAGAACCGAAGTGAACTTTAACTCGCAACGTCAATAGAACAATTCTGATACCATCTATCAACCCACGGTGGGCGTGGCCGGGAAAAACCAATCAAGAGCCAACATCTTTCTCTCACAGCAATCAAAGAGAGGTAATAATAGAAGGCGAAGTGTACGAAGAAAAAATGTTCGAACGTGAGGCGTGAAGAAAAGAACGAGGAAGCGATACCGATGCTCTTGATAATTGTGTTCGATCGACCTAGATAAGAATGTTGACAATAACTGTGGGACTGCGAGACAGGCGGTACTTCCCGTAAAACTTCGACGACTTCTGAGAATCGAGCTTAAGTAGTAGGTTATGCGTAGGCAAAGGTAGCGTATGCAGCCGTTTGACGGGCGACTGATGGATGGCCCGACCGGAGATTTTCGCGATCAACCTAGAGATCAATCGATGGCCGTGCCTGGTCAGTGACAACGGCTGTTTTTATCATTTGGACTTGAGAGCATAGATAACATCTTTATCACATCTTCAGATTAAAAAGCACAGCGAAAAAAAGACTATCGAGGGCTGAAAAAGAGGAGACCAGTTTGATGAGATCGAGAACGGGACCAGACCCTGCTTTTGATGACGCGATGACTTCAGTACTAGAGATCCGAAACTTTCGAGGCGGTGCTTATGGAGTCCATTTCAAGCCGGATATGATTCTCGTCGCTCTTCTTTCGCTCCTGAAATCGTTTATAACCCATTGAAAAACAATGAGACCTCGAGATTAGCTTTCAAGGTACATATTTCAAAGGCAGTTGGCATGATAAATCCCTAAGACGAGTCGGATTATCGGGATCGGCAGGACGGGATTCCGCGCCCGTGAGCAGGCGCTGCGCTGCGCCTTTTCCAATTAAGATACCCCTATAAAACCCGTCAAAGTGCAAACCGACCCGGAGCCCGCCCGCAGAAATGGACGACCGTACCCGATGCTCGTATTGCTTCATTTACGGAAGTAAAATATGAAGCGAAGAAACTGATATGGAAGCGGCCGCGGTGCTGCATGGAGATATTAGTACACAGGTAGAGCCGTATCTATTGCAGCGATTATTGGCACGACGCCAACGGGAATCTCGTCCAAAATTGCTCTCTGAGTTACGAAGAACGAAGGCTTCATTCGCAAGGTTTTTGACCATTTCACTTCATTTTTTCGCCATTTCCCCACTTTATAGCAGTCTGCTAGCATTTGGAAAGAGTACCAAATTATCCTGCCATATGCCTTTAATGAAATGCTCCCGGTGCTAATAGCCTTTTCTTCAGCTCCTTCCATCTAAGGTTGAAAGAACGTGCTAACTGCCAACCTCACCTGTATTCCATTGCTAAATGTTTGGAAGGAAAGTTTTTTCCGTTGCCACGAGTTTGACGGCGATATTTCGGGTAACTGAAAAGGAATGAATAGAAGCTGGCAAGCATGGTTACCCTTTAGAGCGCAATCCTCACCGGGCTAAGGCGCTCCTTGATCAGAAGCGGCTCGCTATTGAGTGGTGATTCGGGCGCCTCTAACAAGTCCTCATCTCTTATCACCGATCGCGTGTTACCTGCAAAATCCTTGTGTAGTTCTCTTGAATGTATACTCTACAATAAGTACAATATGTACGATACATGATCATATGACGCCTTGTATGACACCCCTACGCCGGGAATCCCAGCGGGGCAAGCGGGGAGGTCGTATTTGGTCTAGGAAATTTTTTTCGATAATTGATTTTCCCTATTTCACGGGCGTTATTCAACTCGTTGACCATTCCAATGAGGAGGGGTCGTATATGCTCGTCGTTGGGAGGGGGAGGGGTGGGTCGTATTTGCTCAGAGAATTTAGCCGCCTTGGGAATTTTTTCGAACAGGAGAAATTTTGGTCAGGGTAACGGCATGTTTTTAGCCACTTTTATGCCCAACTGCATGCGTTGACAGCAAGTTGAAGCACTGTATACTTCAGCATACCCTTGTGCCCAGCCGGTCAACTCCTCGGATGCTGTTGTGCGTCGTGTCTTGCCGCCAGAGTCCAAAAGGCACTGTCTTTTTGTTTTCATTTCCCCGACATTTTGTTTCAGAATAACAGCCGGGCAGAGTTCTGTCGTTGTGGGAAATGTTTTTAGATGCTACAGCATTCCAAGATTAAGCAAGTACAGGAGGCTTTGGATATTGGAAATGTTCTTTGATGAAGCCAGCTGTTAGTTCATTTCTTCTCACGATGAGCAGACCGACGGGAAATGCATCAAAATTGAACTGTTTTGGTCATTGGAACTTGGCTGTCTACCCCTTGTGCTAGAAACCAGTGGGACGAATGACCTTCGGAGGTACGAGGTATGTTTTTTCGGTTGAATGAGGCGAGTTGTGCTTTCAAGAGGGATGCGAAAACCATAAAACGCTCGCAGTGTTGAAGCTGACGGCTAACAGCATTGGATATCTGAGAGTTTGTGGGTTTGCTGCAACAACAAGTTGTGCAAGAAGCATTCACCAGACCATCGGGGTGAGTGAGAGAGACGAAAAATCCCCCTTCCTAATTGGTACCTGTTTCTTTTAAAGGCACTTTCCGCGATAAAATAAGGCTATGACCTTTCAAATGTGTCAGACGATCCGGAAGGAGATTGCGGAGGCTGCGCTATCTTTAGAAAGTGAAAATCGGCAAGAATTCCGCTTTAAGCTAACCAATTAGGCCCATGGGCGCCCCTTAGGCCCATGCCGACCCCCACCGGCTGCTAGCTACTAGCTAGTAGCCACTATGCTATCTCTCTCCATTCCGAATGGTGAGAGTGAGGTGATACGATAAAAGAGCTGATATCTTTATGATAACGACGAGTGGAAATTCGTACAAACATGCGTTTTCTTCATTGCATGCATGTACAAGTTGGAGTCGATATGGAATCCTATTTAGGGCATTTTCGGCTGTTTTTCTGCTGCTTTTCTCCGCTAATCAGATACCTAGCCCCTTCTTCGATCCTTGTGGTGTTCGTACCACAGTCTGTGCGTCGCGGTCTTAGCCTTTAAAAGAGTTTTTGGTACCTGTTTCTTAAAGGAGGTTAACATCACGGTCAGTACACATAAGGCACATTTCGCGTTCGTTTATTAGAAACGAAACCCTGTGCGAAAGAAGTAGTGTGGGCCGCAATGGACAACCTTGTACTAGTATATGTGAGAATTTGTAATCGTAGTTAAGGCGCAACGATGCCCAAGTACCCCCCCCCCCTTGGACTCATTGTCAGATGTACATTGACGTTCATCAGCCTTATACCATCAGATCTCAGAGCACCTAGCGGCTTTGAAAATCATCAGAAGATAGACAAATTCAGCGGCTAGTCCAGGTGTAACAGCATGACAAACGTGGTTCTGAAGAACAGCTTACAACTAACCGTAGGATCTGTTCAGTGAGAAACTTCGAGTTCGATTCCATGGCATTCGCGGTGAGCAGCATGCCAACCTCCGAAATTCGGTCATTCGAAAGTAACATAAAGGCTGACATACCGAGTGAACACCGATGAACACCTAAAAGAGATGTTTCGATAAAGTGGAATGTGATTGCTTGAGATGTCCTCCATTTAACTGTGGAAAAGCTTTCACCAACTTCTTCTCACAACGTTTTAATGCAATACCATTAAAGTCACACTCCCAATTACCCCATGGATAGAATCTCTTTCTTGATGAAAGCATAAGGCACGATAATTTGGTATTCACTCTAAAAAGGTAGCACTGATGCTGCATAGTGGGCAAAATGGCGAAAAAGCAAAGTGAAACGGACAAAAACCCGCAAAAAACTTTTGCTCTACATTACTCAGGAAGTGACTCCGGACGATTCCCGTTGGCATCGTGCCAATAACTGCTACAGTAGATACAGCTGCATGTATATACTTATGCATCCATAGAGCACCGCAGCGCTTCATATCAATCCCTTCGCTTCATACTTTACTTTGCAAATGAAGTTTTAGGAGCATCAGCATCGGTCGGACATTTGTGGGCGGGCGGGCGCGGTGGGCGTCCCGGTTGGTTTGTTGCAGCTTGAAGAGCTCCGTAGGGGTACCTTCTTTGGAAAAGGCACAAGCGGCCCAGGGGCCGAATTCTGTGCTACTAGACCATTATCCCACACGTTTTGCGGATTTATCTCGCCACTTGCCTTTAAAGTAGCCCTCTCCGCAATCTCGGACGCTATCCCACGTAGGGTTACGTGACAACTAAAACTTTTGGTGGGGGTCCTGCCACGATAGGCCAGAGCGCATAAGGGACTGCCACTGCCAAGGCATCGTGAGGTACAAAAAACACGATGCGAGCCAGGAGATGAGTTTTTTCGAGGGGAAGGGATATCGGGGTGGATGAGCCACTTAGTATGCGTGAAAAGTTGGAATGTGAAAGGTCAAAGTGGCCATAAATCGCCATCCAGGCAAGAGAGCGCAGAGAAAAGAAGAAAGTTGGCGCCATTAAAGACAGCCCCCGCGATCAAAGTGGCTCGTGGTCGCCTTTGCTGTGCAAGTAGTCTAGCCTCCAAGCTAGAAGACTGTTCACCTTTCGCGACTCTATTGTGAGCGTGGAGGCTGCTATAGCCGCTCAAAGTGCTA